ACCCCTTAGAATTCTAATCACACCATGGCATGCTAGGAGTCTGAGTGCTATGCTTTGCCGTCTGCTCTGCAGATGTGATTTAACTCTGATTACCTTGATTTGTCAGTGTAGTTAGGCCCAAGAGCATTTAAGATAGTAACTGACTGCTGATATTTGACTGGGTATCAGAGAGTATTGTCCCTGAAGGCAAAAGCTCAGTAATTTGAAATCTTGTGAAAATCTTACATCTGGTTGAAGTAGAGGGTCATTTCATGTGACGGTGGCATTGTTTTCAGTGTCTGCGTTAGCCACTCATTTGGTTATGGAAAGAAGAACATATGCAAAGCCCAGCCCAGGGTGGTTCACAAAGGTGAGTGAAAGACTGAAGAAGATACTAAGTTATGAAAGAATCCTGATTTGCAGTTGGACACATGACTACCTGGAATAGCCTAGTCTGCATTTCCCATCCGAGGATGGAATAAAAGGGCAACTGATGTATGCAACTTCAGGAAAATGTCCTTAGGTGCAAGTGTGCTCGAATATTCCTCCTTACTTTCATGCTTTGCTCCTGTGATGTAGGCATGATCGCTGGAACTGAAATTAGAACGAGTGACTATAGGTGGCTGAGCAGAAGACAGAGATCTATTTAGGTTTGAAATGCTTTGGAGGTCCATATCTGCCCTCCCTAGATTTTTTTGAAAAGAAAAAGGCAGTTTCTCTTTTTTGAGAGGCTTGCACATGGCAGGTCTTTCTGCCATGAATCTTCTTTTTTTTCCTTCTCTTCTTCTTGCTAATAAACTCTGTTTTAAAACTTTTTTAAAAACTGTCTTGATTAAGTCACTGTTATTTTTTTTTCTGTTGCATGCATCCCAATTGACTCCTAACTATTATACTATGTATGCATCGCTTCAAAAATTATTTATTGCTTTAGCGAACTTTTCCCCACGAATTAAATGTGTGACTAAAGAGTGACTAGTGTAGACACTAAAAACAATGCCACCTTCACATGAAATAACTACTGACCTCCAAAAAAAGAAATTTTTTTTAAAGGTAGCTTCAATTTATGAAGAAGCAAGGTTACTTTGAATATATATACATATACATACATATATATATACACACACCTTACATACCCTCTACCTTTTTATAAAATTTATAACTAAGATGTATATCATTATATAAAATACTTATCCATACGGCTACTTATTTCTGTAGAAGATATATTTGTAAATAGAACAACGGACTTTATAGCATATATATGAGACAGTTGCTACATATTGTCAACTTTCTTTGTAGAGCAATACACATAGGGGTATGCCTATATCAACATACTTTTGTTAGAGTTTAGTAGAATAGCACTATTGCTGTTTCAGTTAATTTCCTATGTTTCAGTTAAAACATGAGACATATGGATCTCCTAATTGTATATATTTTTATGTATTGGATTTCTATAGGCTGGACATATTTACTTACGTTTGTTGGCCGTTTGTATTTATTTTTGGAATAAGTTGTTCATGTTCCCTTCCAAATTTTCAAGCTGTTGGGGATTTAGTATACTTACTGATTTGAAAAGGGTCTTTTAGTCAGAAAGTTTTAATAGTTATTTAAATATTTTTATTCTGGTCATTGTATCTAATTTGACATTCAGTTTTGTTTTGTTTTTCATTTTTGCCTGGGGCTCTTTTCCATTTGATAAATATTGATTTTTTTTTCAATTTTAATGGCGCAGAAGCCAATAGTGTTATCTTTTTTAAAAAATTGCTCTAGCATGCAGAGAACTTCATTATATAATAGCATCTGAACTCAAACATCATCTGTATGCTGTCTTGTCCCTGAGAAGAAGGTGTTAAACATAGTTTAAAATAGATGTTAAATATAGTAACAAAGAAGGCATAGGATTTATTTTATTTCAATTTTGTGGAAAGTTCTCCTTAGAAAAATATTGGCAAGAGTCATAGTTTTCCTGGCAATGGAATGGGATGCTTTATATCTTAAACCAAATATAGACTATGTCCATGAGATTAAATCTGATTTGGAAGTTCAAAGTTTGAGACTAAAATATAAATAACGGCCGTAAAAATTGTTGTCTTGACATTTGATTAAATTCTATAAATAATTAACCTGTTTCTATTGGTTTTTCTTTAACCGCCAGTTATTTTAACTCACTTTTTTCCACCTCTCTGGTTCTTTATCCTTCATTATTGTCTTTGTAATTTTGTTTACTTGTGGTAAATTCCTTTGTGGTGAACACATTCAATTACTTATTTAAGTGACTATGCTTAATTTTCAGTTGATATGCTTCGTATTTTGATACATGTATTACTTCCATTTTAAAATTTCATTCTTCTGTATCCTTCCAGACCTCTCATGTTGTGGTAAGGTTCATCCTAAGCACTGATCCATAGGTACTATTTATTTATATTTTCGATGCTACCACCAATAACATTTAATATCTATATAGCACTTATCATTCTATGTATTTAAAATATTATTTTATTACCTTTCTCAATATAGCCATTAAGCATTTGGGAGATGAATTGAGTGGTTTCCATTTTTCTTCCTTTACAAATAGGAGTCTCTTGTCACAATTGGCTAGAGTCTATTCTTTCCAAAACTATTTAAGTAACAAGTGACTCCAGATGTCAATTTACATTTTCTTTAAGGACCCAGGGGAGTTCATGGATGTCCTGTATTAGGCAAATTCAAGTAGCATAACTTGAGCTTGTGAACATCTAGTTGGTCAGAATTCAGCAATATTATTACATCTCCTTCCCGCCCCCTGACTCCCTTTTTCCAAGGAGTTACTATGTGCAAAAGACTACAGAGTAATATTTTCTTAAGCATTCAAGAAGGATCCTATGATATGAGGAGGCAAACACACACCCACTAATTATTTAAAAGGAACACGAAAAAAGCAGAATGAAATAGGTGCTATTGCAGAGATACCATCAAAAGGATTGTAGGAGTATGATGGGAGGAGTACTTTTTAAAATTGAGTGCTGGTGAGAGAACTTGGCATTGGAGTTGAGCTTTAAAGAATGAATGGGATTTTGATAATCACTTTGTGTTGAGTATGGTTTTAATTCCAATGAGGTTTTAGGTTCTTCAGATATGCTGGGATAACTGTTACCTTTCTAAGAGTTCCTGGAGGTCATCGGACCATTCTGAATGTATAACATCTTACACAGTTTGGGGACTATAATTATGGATGTAATGTCCTTGAATACAATAAATCTTAGTGACTTGGGTGTACCGTACCGAAAATAATTCCTTAGCTAGTTGAAATCACGACGTTTTCGAGCAGGAAAAGACCTTAGAATGTATCTACTTAACACTCTCGCTTACAAAGAAGGCGCAATGAGGTTCAGTAATTGACCAAGGTCACCAGTTAACTTGAACAGACTCCTCCTATCAGAAGGCATGGCTTTGGAATCGACACCTTTCCATAGCTATCACGGTAATTTTCACGGATGTTGTGAAATAAAATCACTGAATCCCCATGCCCGATTATCAGAGAAGGATACTTTCAACTCTGTAATGAACTTACACGTTGAGATAAGTTTGAAGGAACGTAAAATGGACTGAAGGCAGGAAACGTTCTGGGACTCCGTACCTGCATAATGAAAATACGGAATAATTCCCACCTGCAAAACGGAGACACTGGCTGGACTTTCAAACGGGTGTCATTTACTCACCTTAGGTGGAGTGGGAGAGAGAAGAGGACAGGGAGGGAGAGAGAAGGGAGGAAGGGAGGGAGAGAGTTAGAGTGGGAGATGGAGAGGGGGAGAATGAGAGAGAGAGGAAGAGGAGGAGGGATGCGGGGGAGCGAGAGGGAGGAGGAGACGAGAGAGAGAGAGAGAGAGAGAGAGAGAGAGAGAGAGAGAGAGAGAGAGAGAGAGAGAGAGGCGTGCCTTGGAGAGGTACCCTTTGTCTGACAAACCCTGAAAGGGAAGCCTCTAGTAACAGCCCTCTCCTTCCCACCTCCAAGCGAGTGCCGAGCTGCTAGGTGGAGCTCGCGCCGCGGAGCCCGCGAGCACTCCAGCTCCGGGTTTTGCCGGCCGCCCCCTCCTCCCGGCGCGAGCCCCCCTCCCCGGCTCCCGGAGCCCTCTCCGCCCGCCCGCGGCTCATTCTGGCCTCGGCCCGGGCCCCGGCTGCCTCCGCCGCGAGCA